TCATAGTAAGTAGGCTTCGAGCCTATAAATAACTTTTAAATAGTAGTTTTAGTCACGTTGGATCGCAAAATGATATAAATAAGATTTGGCATACCATTTTATTTCATTTAGTCATGCCTGTCTATGATAAAAATACAGTTTGGGGGTTAAAACTGAGAGCAATTAACTGGAATCATATCATTTTGACAAAATTCCTATATTAGATTTTCATTACCTTATTCAATCTATGGTACCTATAACTCTTAAAAAAACATAGATTGACACAAAAGGGACTGATATAATAAATCTCTCTCTCTCTCTCTAAATAAATAAATATGTATTCTAGTGAAGTGACCTTACCTTTAACTCCCAAATTGTATTTTTATCATAGGCAGGCAAGGCTTAATGAAATAAAATGGTATCCAGAGTCATATTTATATCATTTTGAGATCCAGCATGACCAAGACTACTATTCAAGATTTATTTGTACACTCGGAACCTACTTACTATGAATATAAGTAATTAAAAAGTGGTTGGGTTGCAAGGACCATATTAAGAGCTCCCAGTTGCTCATGTTTGCCTTTTCTGGAAGTGCCAGATTGAAACAGCAAAGGTGGTTATTTGAAAAATAAAAATAGCTTAGCCTTGATTAAAAGACCTTTTGTGATACAGGCTAGGTGAAGGTTATTTTAGTGAGGCCTAGTTATATCAGTACCAATACTTAACCCAACTTAAAGGCCCATGGTGCTTAAGTTCTTCCACCAAGTTCTTAGTACTGATAAGTCAAGCTGTGTTAGAGCAGAAGGAATTCGCTGCCGTCTTCCGTTGGGACGGATCAACTAATCACTTTTCAAGCACTTTCACTTCAAACTAATTGAGAAACTTTGGGTGCATTTCATTTCGTCTAAGAGAAGCGGTTGGAGGGGATTCGTTAAGTTGCTCAGCTGGAAGTCAATATAGGCTATCCTTGAAGCTGTAGCATAGAATTAGTTTTATGCTTTGTATAATTGATAGACCCAAAAACACCTGATAAAGCCAAGAGAGTCCTTCAGGTCGCACACAATGATTTCGTTGAGATCATACACCAAGAAAAGATTATAAAATTGCAACCCCTTTTTGACACTTTTAGCCCGACATACCCTATCTGATTATGGAGTTTTTTAACAGGTAAGAACAACACATGCTAAAATACTTATGAATTGGGCATAAAAATCAAGACGAGGCTTTATCGAGGAGCGTTGAAGGTGGACGATGGGGCACAAAGTAGACATGGTAAGAAGCTGGTAGACCCATCCGAAACAGAATTGGAACTTGTTATTGACGAGGGAACTGGAGAGGTGGAGAATAGTTGCTCTTATTCCGAATGAATAAAGTCTGTCCAAGAATTGGTCTCAATTAGAATTATTATTAATAGAAGAGGTAGAGCGATGCATAAAGTACAACTTAGAGGTCTGGCTTTTTTAAACAAAATATCATAATAAAACATTTTATTTAGTCGATGGTCGACGGATAGAATGTAAACGTTTGCTCTAGAATTAACATTAGATCAACACCGAGGGATTTCAATGAGTATAAATTAAAATGATGTGTTTACCTTATTTCGTGTAAGATGATGAAGGACTGATTGTTGAATTTTCCGACAATGATATGAGTGGACTCTACGTTTCCATCGGATTTCACATAATTTTGCTTTCCAAAAAGTTATTCTTATCCAGGATGGACTGCCGTTTTAACCTGGCCTCGTTCTTGTCAACGCCCCCAGCGGGACTCTAGCCACAACACGGCAGCGTATAATATTGACACTTTAAACATGCGCCACAACGCCACGAGGGTCCTTAAGTCACAGAGCAGATGTGCATTTCGAAGAAGTACAATTTCCTCACCTTAACCGAAATAGTGTGAATACATTAAATTTGCAGTTGGTTTCAAAAACCTACTTAAAAAAGCAAATATAAATAGGTTTTATAAGCTACCGGTAAATCTGATAAAGGAGGTGTATTCATCATTTGTTGTTTAGAGTGATGAAGTTTTTCCATAATCATATGCGAATACACGACTTCCACATTGAATTGCACATAGCCTTGCTTTCCCCGAAAGTATCATCATCCAGAGTTGACAAGGACGAGGCTAGGCTGAAACTGCACTCCATTCCGGATGATAACTCCTTTTAGGAAAGCAAGGCTATGTGAAATTCAATGGAAACGTCATATGATTGTGGACAAATTCTACTGCCAGTCCTTCATCACTTTGAATCAAATAGCGCAAACACATCTAATTTGTTTGCCTTTAATACGACGTACAGATTGTCACAGTCCACTATACATCCTCTCTTGTTTCGGGTGAAAACGGAGTGAGATTTCGTTTGTCATATGAAAAACCTCATTGCAGCTGGGACTCGTTTTAGCAAAAATCTCAAGTTAATACTAAGTCAAGATGACTGACCAGCTCTGTCACATCATATATATATATAAATAAATAAATAAATAAATAAATAAATAAATAAATAAATAAATAAATAAATAAATAAATAAATAAATTAAAATAAGTTTTTATATTTTTATATTTATATTTATATTTGGATAAATATATAATGATTTGGATAATTCCATTTTTATATTGATCATGGTACATTTACTCGAGTGTGTGTTGCTAGCTATACGCGAAACCGGTCATAAGTCAGAGTGATTAGAAAAGCCTAATGCGAGGCTGGCGTCATCAAGATTTAATGACCCAAGAAAAAACCCTGAATGAGACTTCACAAGTCCATAAACAACACTGGTTGTGAAGACGGCGCCTTCTTGGCTTAGTGTTAACTTGCGACCTTTACGAAAAGGAGTTCCAGGTCTGATGATGTCTATCATAGGATTGACGAAAGCTTGGCTCCGTTTCACTCGCAATAAGGGAAGATGTTTCGTGGACTGTGCCAACCTGGAGGTCGTATTAAAGCCAAACGGCAAGCTACAATCGTCTACCAGAAAGGAGAAACAATGTATCTCTTCATTATACACGTTTTAGACAAAATGAAAATCTCTCAACAAAGTAAATATTTGAGTAAGAGGTGAATAGTGATAGTGAAAAATTTAGCGAAATTTCATGTACAATTTACCTTTAATGGTAAATTGTTCGAATAAAAACTGGATTCGGCCGTAAACTCGTGCTTTTTTGTTAATTTTATCAAATAACTGCTTGGCTCAATTGGAGGGCCGACTAATTAAGGACGCATTTTTGTCGCTACATTAACGATTCAGTAAATGGATGACCACTTTATCGTTTAACACGACATAAAATTTCCTAGATTCAACGAATAGGATAGAAGGGAAGGCGAAACTTACTATTAAATCAGAAAAGCAAACTAGTTTACCCTTTTTAGTCGTCATAGTTGGCAAAAAGGGATGAAGTCTATAGCAAACTCAGAAATGTGAATTATCTTCTAAATTTCCCTTCAGTCCATACTCTTGGGGTGGAAGCAGGAGCAATGAAGTCTACGAAAATAGGAAGCTTGCGCTTTAGAAAAGTTAGTCTTCGAGACCAATTTTTTTTTACCAAATTTACGCAAATTTTGATTGATAACAATTATCCATTAGGACTAATTGACAATTATTATACTGTTTCAACAAAGCGAATGGAGGGAAACATCTGTTGCCTGCTGTCAGCTCTAGAAAAAGGTAAACGAATTGCCGAGTAAGTGGAGAAACAGGA